TTTTTTCCTAAATATTGGGGATTTATATTTTTTGAGCTCTGAGAATACCAGTTGGTGTTCAGGGGAGAATCTGGAGCTGGCAAAACGGAAAATACGAAGAAAATCATCGAATACATATTGGAATGCTGTGGTTGCACCGCGAAGGAGCAATCGCAAGAGCCGAGCAACGGGAAACTACAGAATGGATACACAACCCATGGCAGTACCGTAGGTAGAGATGTGATCTCTGCAGGAGTGCTGCTGGAAGCCTTCGGAAACGCCCGAACGACCCACAATAACAACAGCTCGCGATTTGTGAGTAATCAGTCAATTCATGTAGTAGTTATATAATAGTTAAACACGGTACGCTTATAGTTTTGTTTGGCCGTTTTCTAAACCACATAAGAATGTGGTGCCCGTCCTAATTATTCAAGAAGTGAGCCATGGTACCGTATCGAAGTGGAGAATCCTCAATGTCTGTTACAAGTGCCGAAAATGGTGTTAAGAATAACCGTACTCTTTGGCAAAATACTCCACCTTGGGGATGTAGCACCTGAGTAGTACAATTCCTTATCCCTTGACCATCTTTTCTCAATCTCCGAACTTTTCTATTATTCAACGTCGACCGAGAGACTGAGAAAGAGGGGGTGAAGGAGATGGGTGGTAAGGTATTAGGAGAAACTGCAGACATAGTCTTCTTTTTCTTATACTTCGCGTAAATTTTGCTCCTGAAGCGGAAGTTTGAGTGTTTAGAGGGTGTGCTCAGGGTATGGAGGTAAATATTGTTTTGCCTACCCGGCGTGGGATTTCATTAAGCGGACGGTGGCTAGGTTGTCTTTAGCTAGTAACGTTATTGAAATTCTTTCCACCCAAACCTTTCAAATTAATGGTGGTAGGTGATTTTAGGGAAAATTCATAAGGATCGAATTCAACGAACATGGAAAGCTACAATCAGCTCAGATCGAATGCTGTGAGTTCTTCCATATCATTTTCATAGCTCAACTACTGGGAAATGAGGAAAACTACTTGTTCTTGAAGTTTGTTGTCTGGATGTGGAAAACTTCCTTTCTAGTAGTTACTTAGGAAGACCTCTGAGTGTTGAATAGCTTGCTATTGAGCCCCGACCTCTCTTCGATACAGCTACGGTAACGATGTTACATTAACCATGTAGTGCTACGGTGGCTGTGGGCAACTCATTGTCCCGATTGGGTAATCCAGCTAATTTTTTACAGAAGCATTTTCAGATCTTTTGGAAAAGTCGCGTGTCGTCAATCAGGATGCTGGCAATCGAAATTTCCATGTCTTCTATCAACTCCTATCAAAAGCGTTCCCTGATGAGATGCGCCAGAAGCTGCTGCTTACTCAAACAGCGGACCGTTACAAATTCCTCAACCAAGGAAATGTTTGTGTTGATAGGGAAATCGACGATGTCGCAAATGGCCTGCTTACTGATGTATGATAGTAAGATTCGACTTGAATGGGCTTCACCCTTCATCGGCATTTTTTAGCAAGCCATGGACCGTCTGGGTATTACCGTAGACGA